GAGTTGAAGTCCGCTCATCTTAAAGTGGCCAAGTTTGGACAACACTGACCTAGACAGTAACATCTTTTCAGGCTCCTAAATTAGATCCGGTTTATGTTTAGGGAAGTGGGCACCCCTGATTGATCTCCACATTTTTCCTATTTTGTGAGCAGCGCCTTTCCCTGGAAACAGGCCTGGGTAATTTGCACCCGGCTGGGTGGCCCTGGAGGGCTTGATGGCACTAGAAGAGCCACCAGCAGAGGGGAAGGCTGCATCAGCTGTCTGACCTCACTGTGCAGGCGTCTGACGTTTACCCCTCGCTACTCGCAACGCCCTTCTCTCTGCACTGCTGCAGGGAAGATGCCACAAAACTCCAGCGATCTGCTGGTTGTGTCCTTGTGGTGCGGAAGAAATCAAAATGACGATGTCTGTGTTGTAGACTTTATCTGGCCTTTTACTGAAATTTTATTTCCCTCTTTTAGTAATAAGGCCAGGGCAGTCTGATGATTATCTCGTGGCCTTCCGATTAGCTGACAAGAACATTCAGGTCGCTTGCAACGTCGCTGAGTTCTGTTACTTAGCCTCAGAGGCCCTCCTGAATCAGCTCTTACCTGTCTTTTGTACTTGTCTGTTTGCTGTTGGTTTTCTTTTGTGAGTTTTTCACTGGAATAACGTTTTTGATTGGATGGCCCTTGATAACAGTCCCATATTGATTTGCCTAAAGGACGAATTGCTGCGTTGAATCATGATTGGAAGGAGAGGAGCAAGCATCTGTTTGCCTCCTAATGTCCACATTCCAAATGCAGAATGTATTCATTGTGCTCAGTTTTATAACGTGGTCATGGCTGCCTTTGTATACAGCATGTGCCGTTCCATTTTCCTGCGTTAAATTTCTCTCCCTTCCCTTTTACAGTTACGTATCCTGGGAAGGGTGGAAAGAACCCAAAGAGAAGTAAAATATTGGGAGAATGAATCAAATTGAAAAGAAATCTGTGAGGGAAGGTTGCAAAAGATGCAGCCGGTTCTGTCAAAACTGAGGAGGGGAGGGTGTTAATTAAAATTAAAATTGAAGGAAGGCAAAGTTTTTTTTCCCAAATAACCTTTACTAGAATCAGTGTTAATTTTTCCAAATATAGTATGCATTTTGTGAGGGAAGACTCTTTTAAAAACATGCAGAGCCCCCCAAAAGGATTTATTTATTTAGTTTACCTCAACGTAAACAAAAGCTTACAAGCTGCTAACAAGAAGCTCATAGAGGGGGAAAAATAAGCCAAACAAAACAGTCAGCCCTGCCCCTCAACCCCAGTTACTCCGGGGGTAATAGAGTTTCACTCATCTTAAGAATGTGACACTCTGCACTTTTCAAGTTGTTATTATTATCTTCTGGAACCTGGAGAAAGTGGGAGGAAATTCTCAGAGCTATTAAAAATACAGTTTTTTTTCCACTAGCGTTCTACATATTTTGGATAAAAAAGCCCTCATAAAAATACATAGAAGAACATACATAGAAAGGAGGGTAACAGTATAGAAACTAGAGATTATATTTTGAAATAGAAATATCAAAAAGCAATCTGCATGAAGTCCATAGTGTCTGTAACATTAGTCTGTTTCAGGAATGGTAGTTATGAAGGACAGCTTCAGTGTGGAATCTATGTGCTGACAAAAATCACTGTTGATTTCTTTCAAACCATTGATTTTGGGTTTTTCCACCTAAAATATTACATGGAAATGCCATTTGCTCCTACTTACAGCCATTGCCCAGGAACTAATACTGTAGGCAGGGAGAGGGGGTGGCATGGACGGGCTTTGGCACCCAGATGCGGAGTTAAATGAATGATTGGGAAAAAATGTGGGTTTTGTGGTATGTGAGTCTGACTCTGCATCCCGTACATTTTATGTGAAGAAAATCAAGACATCTGTTATGGCTGGCCTGGTTCCCACAAAACTTTATAGAATTTTGCTTGTGGGATGCTCAAAGCTGGAGTGGTACAAGAGCCTCTTATTGTTGGCTAGTTAAAGCAAAAGGTACTGGGAACTAGGATACTAAGAAATAGGAATCTATTTTGCTATGAGAGATTATTTTATGGCTGCTAAAAGCTTTATGGTTAAGATGATTTCTGGGGTATTTCTTGGATGATAATTAGAAAGAGCCTTGGGAGAATTTGTTTTTTGAAATAAGCATGTTTTGGTTGAGGTGGGGCACCCTTTACTCACTCTCTGTGTTGTTTCTTGCAATGGGTTTTGACACTTAACCCACCCTAAATAATGAGAAATGTTTCCACTGTTTTTCCTTTGAACAAAATTCCTTGAGTTGTGCCTGCATGACCAGAAATCACTACGTTTATGCTTGTCTGGAGGGACCTGTTTTCCCCAAAAGGGTGCCTTTTAGATACTTTGGTGCCATGCTGGGAGAGGCTGGTCTAGGCTGAGCTTATGCGCCATCTTTAGAATGCCCTTTGCAGTATCTTTAAGAGCGGTTTAGACACGCGGCCAAGGAATGCTATTAGCTTTCAATTTCCAGAGTGCCTTGGACCATGGTTATTTAAATGCTCCTGTCTTCTCTCTTCCCCTGCAGTATGCGCTCCACGTATACAACGAGGTGATGAATGTGGGGCAGAAGTATGGGATCCGGAATGCTGGCTATTATGCCCTCCGCAGCTTGCGCATTGAGAAGTTTTTTGCCTTCTGGGGCCAAGATCTGGATGCCTTCACCACCCCTATGGAATGTGGGCGAGAATTCCGGGTTAAGCTGGACAAGGTGAGGGCTGGTCCCTGGGCGAGTCTGACAGGGTTGGTGGAGCAAGTGGCCTTGAACCAGAAACACATGGCCAGTTTCCAGCACTGGAGTCCAGCTGTTGCCACCTTGCAGGATTGCAGCGGGGTGACAGCACAGAAGATTCAGAGTTGGAATGGTGGATTCACAACCCACTACAGGGGAATGGGCAATGTGCAGGGGCTGGGAGTCCCCAGCACACCATTTATGCTCCCCAAAGTTGGGGAGAACTTTAAGAGCATTTATTCCTTTAAGCCCAACACCCCCTAAAATGATTTTTCATGGGAGGGGCATCTAAGGTGCCAACCCTCAAGAATTTGGGGATGGGAACAGGCCCAACATTTCAGTCTACCTGTTCTGGTGATGTCATGATATCACTGCCCCCCCTCACGGCAGAGCGTGGCCAACTTCTGCCTGGGTCTGGATGGCCTGGGCCTTCTCCCACCCCCACCCCCCACCCCCACTTCATAACTCTTGTAAGAAATGTTGAAAACAGTATGAAAATCCCATCACCATAACAACTTTGTAGTTGGGTTGCTTGCCAGGGGATCTTCCCCAGCAGCAAGTAGAAGAAATCGCTGCAGTGGATTAAGTCATATCTCTGTCTTCCTCGGCAGGGCATGGATTTCATTGGGAGGGATGCGCTGATGGTTCAGAAGCAGGAAGGGGTCTACAAGCGCTTCACCATGTTCATCCTCGAAGACCACAACACAGACCTGGACTTGTGGCCCTGGTGGGGAGAGCCCATCTATCGCAACGGCTACTACGTCGGCAAGACCACCAGCAGTGCTTACAGCTACACGCTGGAGCGGCATGTCTGCCTGGGCTTCGTTCAGAACCTGGACCCTGAAACGGGCAAAGAGCAGCTGGTGACCCCAGACTTCGTCAACCGGGGCGAATACGAGATTGATATTGCGGGGCAGCGCTTCCAAGCCAAGGCCAAGCTGTACCCCTTCAGTTCTCTCTTCACCCCACGCCGGCGCAAGGATGAGATGGAGTTCAGCGGCTTCCAGGGGAAGTAATCTCACACAGCGCCAGACTTTTCCAGCATTGCTGTTTGGACTTCTGATAGTCTTTCTGGTCTGTTACATTTTGTATATTTTAACACTTTCCCTTCCTTTCTTCCCCAAAATGATCCTGCAGCTCCAGGTCTAAAGGATTATCTATGATGGGGAGGAGCACCCTCTGCTTTCAGAGCAAGCAGACACCTCTAATCCCTCACATGTTGCAGAGAGTTTGAGGAACGTGGTGGGACCTCTTGGGACCTGTTGCTCCCTGGGGGCACCTACTAACATCACTCAGAGGTTTACCCACATGCAAACATTCTGCTTCCTGGTCCGGTCACCACTAGGCATCCTTCAAAGGGGCTAGTAGGAGTGACAAGAGGATTACTTCATCTTTATCTCCACAGTAGGAGGTGATGCATCCTGTTAGCAGGAGGATCTTAGTAGCTTTGATTGTGCATTGACCTGTTAGAAAAATGGAAGTCCCTCAAATAGGTATAGAGCTGCCATTTCTTCCTCAGCAGGCCCTCTGCTTCCTCTTTGGGATCTGTATAATGGGAGCTACTTTTGGTTCTGCTGCCTCTCCTGTCTTTGTTCTATCGTGGCCAACCCCATCCTGGGTGCCCTCCAGAGGTGTGGGCTTCAGCTCCCAGGATTCTCAGCAACAGCTCTGCTGGCTGGGAATTCTGGAAGATGACCTTCTGCAAGCAGCCAGGTTGGAGAAGGCCATTTCCTCGTATATGTGCAGCTTGCGCAGTGCATGAGGTGTATGGGGCCTTTCACTGAAGCGATTGGGGAGTGGAGAGGGTCTTACTGTGGGGTAAGCAGCTTGTCTCTTAATTTTTAAGGCTGATCCAACATGCAACTTTGCCTTGTAATCTAACCATTGCCCCCCCTCCCCCCATCTAAACCCTGCATTTGGCCGACGCTGATGCAGGCACCGCACCTCCAACCCGGGTGGTCATCACAATTGCAGATCTCAGGTTTCAGCATGAGGCTGGGCGATCCACGAGCCACCTGGAGACCACCTTCCCTGTCATTTTTGGTGCTCCAAAGGCCCACCGGGTTGTAGCTGCAAGATTCTGCCACGAAACAAAATGTTACAGCAGTGCAGCTTTTTGCTTGTTGGGAGGTGAAGATCAACAGTGATGAAATCCTCTCATGGTGCTTCTGGTAGGCTTAATGCCCCTGCTTTGCCTCTTTTCCCCCCGTCCCCTCCACATGCTGGTAGGGAATTGCTTGGCCAGGAAGACTGGCCTTTTTGGACACATGGCCTTGCCAGTTTCTTCCCAAGAGAATAAATGCAATGCTTTGCTTTGTAGATTTTCTTCCATCCTAGCCAGCCTGGTCATTCTTACTAAGCCTCAATCTCCTTTTAGCCTTCCTCCGGATGTGGGCTGGGAAGGGGAAATTGGGGAAGGTGGTTCTGTTCCAAAGGTCTCAAACTGGTGGCCAGAGACGTTTTTCCCTTTGCCCTTCCCTCTGTTCTTCTGCCTGTGCCCTCTCCTCTGCTGCTCTAGGAGGTGTGTGTAGTAGGGCAGGCCACTTAAAGGCAGCAGGAGCCGCACCTCTTCTTATCCTGCCAGTTTCCCATCCTGGGATGTGGGATGGGGTGAGTGTTTTCCAAATAGATCTGTTGGTGGAAATCCCTCACCTCATCCTGAGGGTCTGGCTCAGGCCTTGTTTACAACAGAGGGGCTGCCTTTTCAGGCTTCCAGGACAAGTGCAGTCTGGAAGCAGCACTGAGGGAAGCCCAGCAGCACCTGCCTGGGAATAGTCCAAGGGCTGCGAGACCTCTTTCTCTGAGATCAGAGGCTGGCCAGGCTACAGCACCCTGAATGCCTAGCCTGCGGGCTGGTGTGCTCTGCTTGGGAAGAATTTGAGAAGAGCTGGCCGTTCCCCAGCAGATTTAAAATCTGCAAAGCTCTTGGAGCAAACAGGGCAGCAGGATCAGGGAAACCTGTGGGCACACCCAGCCTTCCCCCATCGGTGCCCCTTGGGTTGTGTTGCACTACAGTTCCCATCACCTGTCACCACTGGTAAGAGGAATATACCTGGGGAGGTCTGGTTTGTGCTCATAGAAAGCAAAGCTCCTGTGGTAGTTTGAAACTCCTCTGATTTTGCACCCGTTGTCCTTGTGCCAAAGACATCTTTCCCTTCACCATCTTGCATCATCTTCCTGCAAAGGTTTGAGTGAGACTCCCCCCCCCCCCCCCCCCTTCACCTTTTCCCTACAGAGCTTTCTATTTTTTTCAACTGACCCAAAAAAAAAATATTTTTTTT